TTTCTATCGTTGCACTGGAGCGAGATGATTGCGAAACCACCTTTCGTGAAAATTTACATTTTAAACAAAAAAAAACTTGATTGAAACATCATGATTGAAATATATCGTATATATGAAATATAACGTAGGTTTTAAACATTGTTCTGAAGCAAATCTTTTGTTTAACTTTGCTCAGTAGGTAAGTAGATAGAAGCGAAACGTTAAACGTTCTGTTTCGTACCGTGGTATTGGAGATGCTGAGTAATACATATAAATCCAGATTTAGAATTTTAACTAGTTTAATAATTATAATACACACATAAAAGCCCACACAACCCATATTTAAAGCCATACTTTCCTAGTTTATTGGTAATATTTACTTGTAGGTGTACAAAACAGGAAGTTTAAGTTTTTATTAAGAATTAATTTTGGCGTTGATAAATGCCAAACGTTATCTTTAGTGCAGTACTTGTACCCAGGTACTTGACGTAATTAATAACAAATGTCACACATTTCGTGATAGTCCAGTACAGTTACTTTGTTCGTGGAATTACTTCCTCGGAGAAAAGTGGTATTTTCATGGTCAACGATGCATTCCGCTGTCGCCTATCAAGTAATCTTATCACACTAGTATATAAAGCGTCTGTCACGCCACAAGTGCATCAGTGCATCTGAGCTCAGATACAACACAGACCTCTCCACACACAACATGCTGAAGCTGGTGGTGTTGTCCTGCTTGGTGGCGGCCGCAGCAGCCGGCGCGCTGTTACCGTACGCGCCCCTCGCCTACTCGGCGCCCTTCGCCTACGCGGCGCCAGTGCTGGCCCCTTACGCCCCCAACTACCGCGGCCCTCTGTCTCTGGCGCCGGGCCAGCCCGCCAACATCCTCGCAGCTGATGGCAGGCCGCTCGACACCCTGGACGTGAACTTGGACCGCTCCGCGCACTACACCGCAAAGGCTCTGGACCACGCTGGATTCCACGTCCTGAAGAAGCGCTCCGCTCCCATCATTGCGCCAATCAGCCGTGTGGCGGTCGCTGCTCCTTTAGTCCACAGTTACGCCGCTCCTCTGGCTTACTCCGCGCCCCTCTATAGCTCCCGCCTGGCCGTGGCTCCCTACAACTACGGCTACGCTGCCGCCCCCATTGCTCACTACTGGAAATGAAGACCTTAGTTCGCTGATCAATTGAAAATAAACCGACTACTGATTGAATATTTAATATTGTTCCAACTCCTAACTAAGCCTTATAGATTTCTGACACCTTATAGATTTGTGACAAAAGATGACGCAAAATTACTTAAAAATCTATGTTTCGTTTAATACTTTCATTGACTAAAACAAAATTAATTTAAAACAAAAATAAATAGCTTTATTGCGCCAATTAGCCGAGCCGCGTGGCGGTCGCTACTCCTTTAGTCCACAGCTACGCTGCCCCCCTGGCTTACTCCGCGCCCGTCATCAGATCTCATTCAACTTACGCCGCCACCCCTATCGCTCACTACTGGTAATCCCTGTTGACTACTCGACATTGTGTAAATACTAATAATGTAAAATAAAGAAAATTGTAATACCTAAGCACTGTGTATTTATTCAGATATGTGTGTTTAAAATTAATTTGTCAATAACCTAATCAATTAAAAAAGAAAAACGTTTTGATCTCAGCGATGTCGTACCGTGCATCGCATCGCACCTTGATCTTTATTTGTAGTAGATACATACTTAATTACTCAAACTAAGAACTATATCCTAATATCATTTAGATACATAAGGTTGATAATTGTTTACCTGTCATTAAAATACACATATTGTGACAAATTATTGAGATTTGCAACTCTAGATTTTATTGCTTAAGCCAATTTGGAATTAATTAATTGAAAGTTTCGCTGAAGATACACGTGAAATAAGAATGATGTTCAATTTTACTTTTCTGTTACATCTACATTATAAAACACAATACAAACTTTAAGTACTTTTCTTACTTCCGATATAATATGATATTACACCATTCCTTTGAATCAGTGAGAGAACGATAAGCAGGCAATTGTTCACACATTAAATTGAATATCCACCATACTTACGAGGTCCAGGAATCAAATACGACATTCTTTGCCTTGGCAGTTGCACAAACGGTAACATTATGGATTCCGATTTATTATATATCATTATTCATTATTCATTGTCATCATCATCATCATCATCAGTCTTTTGATCCCAATGTTGAGAAAAGGCGAAGCGAAAAGGTTGGCGATTTCAAATTTATTAAAGTTTTCTTTACCGTTTGTCATCGTGGTCTAAATAATCTTAGAGAGCACACAAAACTTGAAATTTTACAATGCTATGTACTTGTCAGGTAGGTGAATCCGTGACTTCATTCATGAAAAACAAGGGTCTAAAGCTCTGGGCTACTACGATTACCGATTGTCAAACTAACTAAAAAAACTAAATAGAACAGAAAAGAAATAGTTTGATAACGTCTTACTTTTTAAACACTGTCTAGTTAGTCGAGTGGCGACAAACTCGATTGTCGAACTAGCTAACTGATAATTTATCCTACTTTGAATAAATATATTAAGAATGAGATCGAATGGTGCGGAAGGGTGCGGAATGAACATTGTAAACGAGCTGAAACTTACACCAAATTTTAAAATTCGAATCGACATTCGTTTCTAAAATATATACTCACTAGTACATACATGTTTAAATAAAACTAGTTCGGGTGATATTAAAAAAACATCTTGCTCTAATATTTCCTCCTGGGTAATGGGTAATTCACATACTTACACAAGCCACCAAGACCTAGAGCAGGAATCGAACCCGCGACACGTTGCACAGCAAACAGTTGCCCGGCCACTGCGTTAACCGTGCAGTAAAATTAGAAGTGTTTTTTTATTTCATCATTGTCTGTATGTATTAAAATTTTTTTTTAATCTGAACTACTTTTAAGTAAGTACTTATTCATGTGATCCATGTTTTTATTGTTTTTTCTTGTTTACTTGTTGCAAATCCTTTGAGTTAATAGTAAATAAAAACGCCACGCTCTACTGTTGTCTGGATTTCATTTTATTGAAATCAAATAGAATACCTTTTATCTAACTAACATTATAATCGCGAAAGTTTGTAAATATGAACGTATGGTCTTTCACGTAAAAACTACTAAATGGATTTGAATAAAATTTCGGAACATCATAACATTTCTTCTCATCCCTCGGTAGGGCGAGAATGTCAAAATCTTACTGAATAAAAACCACCTCCCTTCTCCTACTTCATCAGGTGCCGCGGTTCATTATTGCGTTTAACCCATCGATCACTAATAAAGAACTAGATACACAATCGGTGGCAAAAAAATGTCCCAACTGAAAGTCCACCAAACTCAACATCGCGGTGTAGTTTTAGTTTAGTACCACTCGAATGCTCCGACGGTAAACACGCCTCAGTGCTCGTTAAAAAACTGCAAAAACACACACATCTAAGATCCAAAAAAGGATGGAATTTCATATTTTCGTTAAGTAATAATATTATCATTATATAAATGTCATCATTGTATTTTAAATATTGATGTTTTATTAAGAAATCAACTTTAAAACTTTTTCCAAATGAAATCGTATTCAAAAACCGGGGTTATAATGCACACAGTTTATAAAGACACTTATAAGTACTAAACTTAAAATCATTCTCTAGCATGACCACTTAAGTTGTTCGGTTTACGTGGATTGATTCTGTTCCGTTTAGTGGAGACGCTATTGTTTCTAATTTTATTTATTGTTTTTTTTTTATTAAAAAATAGTTTTTATTTAATATTATACTTCTTTACTGTGTTTATTAAAATATGGAATAGGCGGATGTAATGGATTTAATTTTAACTGCAGTAAAGAAATTTTTTTTTAGCTTTCATCAAGACCCGTTCGATATGAAAAATTGGCAACAATAACGCCAACATTTTCAGTACTTACTTTAGATATATATTCTTTTTATTATTTTACATCTTTTTTATTTGACTTCGAATAGAAAGGATTAAGGAGGACGAAAATAAAAAAAAAGAATTATAACTATATGCATTAGTTTCATTGGTAAATAAATGAACAAACCTATAGAAAACAATACTATAAGTAATGCGTTTTAATTTCCGTATTTTCTTTTTTTGATAAATTATAAAATACGAAAGAAATATATTTCTTATGAGACATTTCGACTCCAATCATTCTTTGTCCTAGCGGTGAGCCGAAGTCGTTAAATTTTATTGCTTATTTTTGACACTTTGTAAATTCGACTTAAAAACATGCGAATATGGTTCAATTTCTTATGATTTGTGTTTGTCAAGAGCTTCGGTCGCAAAAAGTATTAAGATTTTGTACATCACTTTGTAAAAACAACTCTATGAGTTGCATTTAAGGTTTAATTTACATTAATGCATTTTTATTTCAAGTATAAGTACCTAAATACAGTTGGCGACAGTTTTGAAGCGAACTTTTGTATGGGATTGTGTATCTAGTTCTTTATTAGTGATCGATGGTTTAACCCTCAACCCCAGAAGCAGGCACAGAATAATACAGAGGGTAGTTTTTTTTTGGCGTACCTAACGGGAGTATGGCCACTGGCTCAAGCTAGTATTAAATATGGAAAGTTTTATTCAATCTGGCTCCCTTCGAGGTCTCGTGTGATGTAAATGACAGTGTCTGGGCAGTATTACGTGTGTCTGTGTCGTTAGGTGCGAACAAATAATATTTATTTCAATACGCAACATGTCTCTCGATTACGTGTCGCTGACATCCGATAGCTGAAGGTCTGCCGGCAGTCTGTCAATTAAACAACTACACTAATTTATATTTGATTCTTACAATAATGACGCTTGTCAATATTTTGTTTCAGACATTTTTTTATATTCAATGTAAATACTAAACGAAACTACATAAAAGTGCGGGTTGTAATATAGATTTTAAAGTAATATCGCCTCATCTTTTGTCACAAATCTCAGGTAATAGCTTAGTTAGGAGTTGGAATAAAATTAAATAATTTAATCAGTAGTCGGTTTATTTTCAATTGATCAGCGAACTAAGGTCTTCATTTCCAGTAGTGAGCAATGGGGGCGGCAGCGTAGCCGTAGTTGTAGGGAGCCACGGCCAGGCGGGAGCTATAGAGGGGCGCGGAGTAAGCCAGAGGAGCGGCGTAACTGTGGACTAAAGGAGCAGCGACCGCCACACGGCTGATTGGCGCAATGATGGGAGCGGAGCGCTTCTTCAGGACGTGGAATCCAGCGTGGTCCAGAGCCTTTGCGGTGTAGTGCGCGGAGCGGTCCAAGTTCACGTCCAGGGTGTCGAGTGGCCTGCCATCAGCTGCGAGGATGTTGGCGGGCTGGCCCGGCGCCAGAGACAGAGGGCCGCGGTAGTTGGGGGCGTAGGGGGCCAGCACTGGCGCCGCGTAGGCGAAGGGCGCCGAGTAGGCGAGGGGCGCGTACGGTAACAGCGCGCCGGCTGCTGCGGCCGCCACCAAGCAGGACAACACCACCAGCTTCAGCATGTTGTGTGTGGAGAGGTCTGTGTTGTATCTGAGCTCAGATGCACTGATGCACTTGTGGCGTGACAGACGCTTTATATACTAGTGTGATAAGAATACTTGATGGGCGATACCGAAGTGACCATGAAAATACTACTTTCCTTCAAGAAAACAAAGTTCATACGAACAAAGCGTTTGATATATTAAAAGTATCAGTTCCTACCGTGTTTGCGAATATTACTACCTGTTAAAAAAATAAAGGGAAACCATTTAGAATAGACATACCTATTTTATAATTGGTTGTGTTTTGTGTGTAATTTAAAGTTTAATTTCAGTTTTATTGGCTTCCAAGTTTAAAGTGCTTGGTACCATTTAATTACTCTTTTTCTCAGAATAGATAATACATTTTATTAAGTACCTACGTGTCTTTAACATTGATATGGCAGTAATTGTTCTTTAAGTTATCTTTTAGACATATTTTCTGGGGAAGTGATTTGATATATAAATTCAATGCTTTGTATAATATATGTACATAACACAAGGAAGATAGGCGTAAAGCTTAATGAGAGTGATGAGTTTACATATATCCAATGAGTATTATAAGAAATGTATTTGTTTCTTGAACCTAACTTTTCCTGATAACACACTATAAAGGAAAGGTTTTCTTTATTTGAAAAGGACTGGCATTTTGGCTACTAGCTCGTCTAGTACTAATCAATGATATAGCCTATGATAGAGCAGATCTATATACGGCTAAAAACCAATCTATGTACATACATAGCTACCCATGTTAATAGGAAAATGTTATATTGTTAAACATTAATTCATATTTTGGTTAACAAAGAACATCAATTCATAATTGGGACTTTCTCCTGTGTCGTGGGTGCGTTTACAAGCATACAATTTCACATACATATCACACCCAGAACCAGAAACAACAATCTGCGCATCACACAAAGAGAGTCATTTCGTGCGGGAATCGAACTTGCGACACATTGCCTAGCCATCGCACCAACCGTGTCACCTATTCATCGGACACAAGTTTATTCTAACTCTCTTTGAGTATTTTCTACTAGCCTATAGAATATACATACGTCATTATATTTCATATCAGTATTTAGTTTCTTTGTTCTAAACAAACGTTTGTATGTAGTCGTGATTTCCAACTGTATTGAACTTTAAATACTGTGTACTACACAGTTAGTACAATTTTTACTGTTCACTATAATTTGATAGCACCAAATCTACTTCATCAAACCAGCCATTGTAAGCCCTAATAGACTCTCAGTTGTACCGCTATAAGAACCTATTTTTGTTTGATTTTAGCGGTAGTAATCTTTCTACTTTTACACTAGGATCTACTCCGGTATCCTGGGTTTACAAATATAAGGACAATTCATATACACATTACACCCAGACTCGCAATAACAGGTTGTAGTCATAAATAGTGTGGTTTTTTGCAAATAGTTTATAAAATTAGCAATTATATAAAAAAATGGCGTAGATGGTGTACAAAAGCCAAAAAGTAACCATGGAGTTTCTTGCTCCTCAGATGCTCAGAAACAGCTTCAAATGTGTGCAAATAGCTTCACTAAGATGACTAACAGACCGAATGACTCTTATAATATCTTTAACATATTGTCTGATGTACAAAAGTGCCAGTAAGGGTCTTATTTAAATAAATCATTTTGATTTCTATCTGTTTAAGCACAGCTGTTCCAAGTTTCGCAGTTTGGCAAATATTGTCCCGCATCTTGTGTTAACACAATGAAATGCTCCGCGGTTCAAATCCGCTGCAGTTCCGCCGTAGTGTAGGGCCTTACTTGTTCATTAGGGAAGTGTTATCTCAAGATAAGGTGGAGCCGTAAAGGCTTTTAACATTTATTTATCGCGAATGATAGAATGCCGCATAATTTGCAATGTCAACGAGTATGTTAATATATTACAATTCTTGTGTCATGCTACTACTTAACACTTAACAACATTACTTTATGAAAAATTGATTTATTTAATTCAGCAGAAGTAAATTTTATGTTTTTGTATCGTTAGGGTAGTGCAATGTAGAACTGGAAAATCGTTTCCTCTTTCTCCGAAGCAGCGATCTTCTAGGCAGAGGGAGCGAAGCGCATGAGGGAACTATCCTCCACCCGCCATAGACGGCGACATTTTGTGCGCCGGCCACCGTGAATGCTAGTCTTCTATCGGTGAGCTAAGGAGGTAGCGGGGTAATTGCAATGAAGTAACGCGATCTCGGCCTGGAGCAGAAAATGGAACGGGAGAGTTTTTAGGCAGTAAGAGTCTGACACTCCTTCTCACCTTTACCTAGACGAGAGAAGTCATTTGATTATTTTCCCCTCACAAAAAAGGAGGGTATAATTATTATGATACATTTTAGCGAATACATTTTACGGATCATTTTGATGGAAAATGTTGGAAAACATTGACTGTACACAGTATGTAGATGTTTACTACAGGTTTTGGATATTTTCAATCCCCTAAATCCATTTAATTTATATTTTAAAGAACCAAAACCTTGACCACATCTCTGTTGAAATTTCACTATAATGGTCTCAGTTCAAACATGTATTTACTTTATTCCAATTCTTTGGTGTTGATTTTTAAATAAATTGATTATCGAATTTAATAAATGTTGAGACAAGAGCCAGAATCAAACTTACTATTTACTTAAGTCAAATCACCAAACCAAATTCAGATTCAGAAATAAACGTAAGTAAACAATAATTAATTAATTCTGGTTACTATTTTTATCTTAAAAGATGTTGTTGTTTATTGTTTACTGTATTGCTATTTGTTTTACAAGTATAATGTATTCTGCATAATCGTTAATTAAGTGAATAAAAATGGGCGTTCTATTTATGTGAAAGGAAAACAAAATATTATTTTATGTAGTTGGTTTATTTAAATTCTGCCAGTGTTAAGTTCTTCATTTCCAGTATTGGGCAATGGGTGCGGTGTAGCTGATGGGAGCTACAGCAAGAGGCGAGCTGATAACGGGCGTGGAGTAAGCCACAGGAGCTGTGTAGCTGTGGATTAAGGGAGAAGCGATCGCCACGCGGTTGATTGGTGCGATAAGAGGAGCGGAGCGCTTCTTCAGGAGGTGGATACCGGCGTTGTCCAGGGCCTTGGCGGTGTAGTGCGCGGAGCGGTCCAGGTTTACGTCCAGCGTGTCAAGAGGCCTGCCGTCAGCCCCGAGGATGTTGGCGGGCTGGCCCGGCGCCAGGGACAGAGGGCCGCGGTAGTTGGGGGCGTAGGGAGTCAGCACTGGCGCCGCGTAGGCGAAGGGCGCCGAGTAGGCGAGGGGCGCGTACGGTAACAGCGCGCCGGCTGCTGCGGCCGCCACCAAGCAGGACAACACCACCAGCTTCAGCATGTTGTGTGTGGAGAGGTCTGTGTTGTATCTGAGCTCAGATGCACTGATGCACTTACACAGTAGTGATCTCTTTATATCTTAGTGTAATGAGAGTATTGACATTAAGGGTGTTGCCGGAAAACACCGTTGGCCCTGAGCGAACCACTTTTATAAAGTTCAGTCGATCGTTCTTTGTATGTTTGTAAACAATGATTCAATTAAGTGGTCATATGTGGATTTATTATTATTGTAGGCATGGTTGGAGTGGACGTCAGCGCCAGATATTGTAAACTTCATAATTATGCATATTGCAATTGCCTACATGGCTGAACACAGCCGCGGTGTGACATCTCATTGTCATGCGTCTATTATTAAAGCGCTCACATTTTTGTTAAATTGTTTTGGCTGTGAGTACCACGTGAATAATACTTTCGTTTACCATTATAGATTTATTTAGTCTTTAGATTATTATTTAGATTTACTTAGTCCTTTTTACAGTCGTACTCTTTAGAATTATCCTAATTTTAACAAACAGAAAGTCAGAACAGTGTAAAATGTGGAGTGTTTTTGGTATAATTTAAATAATGCCAATATTGAAGCTAGGTGTATCATGTATCATTCAATTTGGTAATATTTTTTATTGAATTATAATCTCTTTACCTACTTTGGATCTATCCTTAATATTAAAATATAGGACGGTAATGTAGTGACGGAATCCAAACAATGAATTTCGTGTGCTTGGCGACTAAACATCGGCTCGTACAAGGACTTACTATTGATTTTAGAATCAGTTACCTTCTGTAGAATTCTCAGTATGGTTGTAATTTGATAACCACAACATAGTAACACAAACATTTAATTATGATTCTATATTCTTACAATTGCTTTAATCTTGTTATTGCCGAAGTACTTTGTTTAACGTTGTCGCGTCGAAAAGTACCTATTGTCTTTGGTCTATTACAGTATCAAGAAAGTCTATCAAGTATCTTTTTGAAGCAATTGTCCCATTTTTGGCGTTCTCCACAAATGTGCATATACTTCACACTCAGACCCGAAATAGGTAACAATCTGCGGATCACACAAAAATTTGTTCCGTCTTCAAATACACCCTTATTGCATCATAGCAATAAACTAATATTCAATATCACAAAGATTATTTGGATATACAGTCTAGTCTCTTATCTCACCATCTATTTATAGAATTCAAGGCCACCTTTCAAGTAACCCTTTCGTAGGGTATTTTCCTTACAGGATAATGGAGAGCCACGTGGTTGTAAATGCGGCACGGAGCACGAGGTACCTTAGAAGAAGAATATGTTTATCGATTCTTAGCACAAGTCTCTTTAATAACATACTTTGTGCATATAGGATTAAATAATAGAAGTGTATTCCTATGCCGACCGATTCGACGAAAAACATGTCTTTTATTTGAATAAAGTATAAAATGAAAATTTTCCTTAATACATTTCAAACTGTCATGGTAACAGTGAAGCTATTGTTTACACAAAATTCACGGTAAAACGTTTCATTGTATGGAGACAATTGAGGGAAGACGGTTTTATTAAAATCGTTGTTTTATTTAATAAGTAGGACAGTGTCTACCCATACGTCACACGTACGTGAATGTCGTATTGTATGCTAATGAGCTTAAATACATTATTCAAATAATTTTCACACCATACTGATAAAACCTTATAGCACCACGAGGGTAGTAACAGGGCCCCAGCGACAGACGACCACCGAAATAAATTGTGGCAATGAAAGTTCCAAACAAAAGAATATTTTGAAACTTTCATTGTTTTCACATAAACGGTTTTGTCACCATCTCTGTTTTGTACTTTATAACATGAAGGACTAAAATAAGTGTTATGAAACTTAAAATTGTTGCTAGGGGTACACCAAGAATACCTAATTATGTGAGAGACAAATATGTGTGTAGCACAGACAAGTAACTGAAGTTTTCTAGACTGAATTGTAATACTTTTTTTTTTTTTTATGTGTAAAACGTTGTACTTAATAAAAATATTTCTTTATTAGGTAATTTACATATGGCGTGGCTCGCATCAGCCTGATATTTTGCATGCAGGAGCGTCGACTGAACTGTCTCAATTACTTTGTCGGCTTGTTGGCATATGTATTGCAACAAAAGCATTAAGACGATGATGAACTGGCCAGCTGGGACTGTAGACGACCTCGTGGATTTTAAATATCAGCTTCCTGAACGGCCGTCTTGCACCGGTTTGCAAAACGAGATCGCCCTTAGCTTTAGTGGATACTTTCTATAAATACGAAGCGACACATTGGGAAGGCATCAGTCGTTCATCCGAGCAACAATACAATACAGACCAAGATGTTCAAGTTGGTGGTATTGTGCGCTTTCTTCGCCGCGGCGGCCGCTGAACCCGGCGCCTTGATTGCTGCGCCCATCACGCAGTACACCACGTACTTGGCCCCCGCTGCGACTACCGTCGCGAAACAGGACAGCACCGTGATCCATCCCTCACCGCTCTTCTACCAGGCTTACCAGACTCCTCTGGCGTACGCCCACTACATCAAGAAGCGATCTGCGCAGTTTCCTCTGGCGTACACTCCTACAGCGTATTACCCAGCCAACTACTATGCTGCTACCACATACAACGCGCCGCTGATCCACAGCTCGCCGATCCTGCCAGCGCCCATCGCGTCAGTGCCTGCAGTGCCTGCCGTTCATCTGATCAAGAAGAGGTCAGCTCCTTTGTTCCCTACAACTTACTACACGCCTACCACCTACGCTGCCACCACTCCTCTTCTGGCGTCCACGTACACCGCGACTGCTCCAGTTATCACCCATACTCCCGTTATCTCTCAACCCCTTGCCTACGCCCACTTGATCAAGAAGCGATCAGCTGGTCTGTTGAACACTTACATCGCCCCTACTGCTTACTCCCACCAGTCGCGAGTTGACTTCCAAACGTCTCACATCCCTTACTCTTCCTTCTCCTACTCCGCGCCCATTGCTTATTCTGCTCCTCTCGCCGTATCCCACCTGTACAAGTAAGCCTTGCTCACCGGAACAACTGTCAAAATCCTTCATTAAAGGAGACTGAAAATTCAAAATTGACACTTTTATGAAATAGCACCATAAATGTACATAATATTGATGAATAATTAATAAACTCTGGATTTTTTAAATAACCGTTTTATTTTTAAACAACTTACGCATCCTCCTCAGTATCTATATTTATAACTTCTGATTTAAGATTATGCACCATGCGCTATACAGCCGAGCCGAGGGCAATAAATTCACCGTAAAGTGGAATTTTAAGCATTCAGGTCATTAAATTGTTTTACCATGTAGGGAACATGGTTATGTGGCGAAGTAGTGGTGTCGTGTGTCAACCATACTCGTACGTACATTTCTAGATGTATAATGATTTAATGAGTTATACCTTAATAAACTTATGAGCATTTAGATATGGTTGTATGAATTAGTAAATAGAACCAATTTATGTAAAAATTTTAATTCAATCAATATCTTTTTCCATTGTGTTTCGTTCGTATGGAGAACAATCATAATAAAATTGTTAAATTCCATGAGCAACTAATTTAAATTTTATATTCAGAACATGTCTTAGAAGGACATTTAGAAAAAAATTAAACGCGATATAATTTCCTCTAACAGCTGAGTAGCCCACGTTACATTCGTATAGAGTTTGACGCTCACGTTTATACAACCCTTAGGAAGCAGAAGTAATGCACCCTTTCAAGTCACGTGTGTTACCGACGTGTTCAATTGTATTATACATTTCCTTAACTATTATACGAACAAAGGCGTTTTTTGCTAAGCCATATTATAATCGTTTCCAATCCTATTGTAATACTTCAAACAACATAAACCTCACTAGTTTTTCTTTAATGCTTGTTATTTGTTTAAATCTGTTTACGGAATGTTAGTCATACTTTGAGGTTTGATTTTTTTCGGTTAATTTATTTTTAAAGATTAATAAGCAATTTTAATTTTTATTCAATTAATGAGTTGTATTAGGAGACAGAATAAATAAAAATTAACACTCTGCATATGTATGATAATTCTTAATTGATGAAAGAAGTGAAGGGGAGACAATTAAAATGTAAAATAAATAAAATGACAGATGAAATTGCTTCTTTATTAACTCACAAAATAAATTATCTTATATCTAAGTATATTTGGAAATCAATCGTTATTTTCTGTTGCCTCTCTGACTTGCTGTTTTTACTACACATGATCACATGTCCCGTAGTGTTCATTATCATGTCGAATGTTGTTTTAAGTAAGTTTTTATAAAGTACTTTGACATATTATCGCTAAAATAATTTTACATTTATATAAATACCAGTCTCAGATCTCATCGAAATCTTATCAATTTAATACTGCGTCTTCTGTAACAGCTTCCATTTGTGGATCATTTGTAGTGCTGACAACTTTACTGTTGTCATCATAAGCTACTATGATGATCTTATCTGACTCGGTCTGTTTTACTCCTTTATCTACATTTTCTTGTTCAGGAATTTCCGTAACAATCACATTACTGTTATCATCACTTGCTGCCACGGCCTCCACGAATTCATAGTTCTCTGCATTCTCCTCTTGTGCTTTATCTATCGAAATGGGATGTTCAAGTGCTCTTGCTAACGGAAGATTGTGAAAAAAGCTTAACGCTACCGGTGTTAATATTGTATCAGCTGTGAACACTGGTGTTATTACTGCTTCTCGCAATTTATTCTCAAGTTGTTGATGAGCATATAGAGGTGCAGCTGGACTATATATCAACGGTCCGGCCACAAATCCTGGACTATGTTTGATATCTATCCTGGATTGATGAGATACCGCACTCGGTGCCGCGTATATTAAAGGCACTATGTCTCCGTACACTTCACACATTGCACCCACAAATAACAGTAACCTAATCATTTTGTTACTTGAACTTAACTTGGAGTGTTTACTAGAGGCAGATGAGACGTTATTTTATAGCGTCATAACGGTTGTTGTTACGTAGTGCGCCAGCGCAACGGGTTCAAGTTCTCGGCCGCAGCTATCGGACGGGTCGTTGCGTCACTGACACTACGGCCCCGGGGCACTGGCCGGATTCAGATGCAATTTACAAACGTCACTTAATATTTTTGATTGATGCGCCGTATTACTTAAAATAATACTTAAGTCATGCATGTTACTTATGTGTAGAATGTACTGCACGCATTTGTTTCCGAAGGTAATTTAGAGTCTACTGTAGGAAATGCGATAACATTTATAAACACGTATTTTATCTATTGTGTTTATAAAAAGTAATTTGGTTTATTTGTATTCTTATAAACTGGCGAATTCCATGTTTTTTGTGACAACAATCACAATGTTGAATAGAATGACAAAAGGTATTAATAGTTTGGATCCTGTCACTCTGAATCAGCATTTGGGGTATAAGAAGGTGGACCTCCAGTTAGGAAATCAGTCAGCTCTTGCAGTTCAATCAAAGTTGTGACCAATAAACAAGTTGAAAATGTTCCGTGTTGTTGTGTTGCTAGCTTCATTAGCTTTGTGCCATGGCCATGCGGTGCCAGTGGTGGCCCATCACGCTGCAGTGGTGGCTCCAGTAGTTGCGCCTGTGGTGGCTGGCTATGCCGGCCATGGGTATGGTGGACATGGATTTGGAGGATACGGCTACGGTGGACTGGGCTACGGAGGACTGGGTCACGCAGGACTTGGTCACGTTGGTTTTGGCCATGCTGGACTTGGACACGCTGGACTCGGTTTAGGCGGTCTCGGTTACGGTGGACTTGGCCATCACATTCACAAGCGGTCTCCTCATCTCGTCGCTCCGGTGGCTCATGTGGGACATGTTGCTCACGTGGCTCCTGTGGCTCACGTAGCACCCGTGGCAGTGTCTCATCAGTCTCGACTGGACGTGCATTCTTCACCAGCTGTTGTTGCTACTTCAGTAGTACAGCCCGTCGTGGCCCCAGTAGTGGCTGCCACCCCGTTACATTTTGGTGGTGGATTCGGCGCTGGTCTAGGAGCTGGTCTCTATGGACACGGACATGGTTATGGCCACGGTTTCGGCCACGGCTATGGCCACGGTTTTGGCCACTACTAGTCACGGTTTTTCTTGATTTTTATAATTTGTATCATAAACGAATGAATGGATTGTAGTGTATAGTTTGCAAATAAAGATGTGATAATTAAAAATGACGTATTTTTATTCATATTTGAAATTGTATGACTTTCCTTGCCATCATGAAAATTCTTAGCTATGAAAGTTCAACCCCATCCAAGATTAGAAATAAGTTCTTGCTGTGTTATGAAACATACATGATATACATACGAAGACAACGATGTGAAATTTAAAATGTTTTGTTAATAAGCTTGCACTTAAATTAACAGGAAGGAGGTATAATTCTTTGATCATAAACATTATATTAATTAAAAAAATACACAAGCATAGTAACTTGCAAAAAAAGTGAATGTAGGAAATAATAAAATTAATAATAACAAAAAATATATATTTAGCCTAGTATTACTCACTACTAGGAAGCCAGTAACCCAGGTTGAGCAATTTAGAAATATAATTCGCCTGAAGGACAGTTAAAATTAGTTTATGGCTAACACCAAAGTAACAGCCTTAAAACTTAATTGGGGTTATTTTTTTACAATTGTTGCAAACACTAATGACTTTTAGCAGCGCGTAAAATATTATGTAAACGTTATCGTGGAAGTAAAATTATTTTCATACCACCGTGCTTAATTTTTTCACACGATTTGTTTAATTGGTAACCACTCGATAAGCGAGATGTCTTTTTTATTATCATTTAAATTGAAAATGATAAATGTATCTACATTTGGTCGTAATATGCTTTGTTTCTATCTATAAATTTCTGCTTAGTCAGATTTCTTGAGAACGGATTACAAATCGTTGTAATAATCCTTAGCACGAGTCAGTGCTGTTCACTGTAAGTTGAAATTTGTTAATAATCATATTCGCAGGAAGTATGAAGTTAAATAAATTACATTGGAGGTGTAAAATAGGTATAAACAATAAAAAAACGGAAAATGTACAATAATAATTCGTTTAATTCGGCAGTGATAAATTCATTACAGATTGGTTTTATACAATTTTAGATCGGTTCGCTTGATTTATTTAGTATGGGTGAACGCTGAGGGCCTTGGGGTATACAGCGGAGTAGGAGAGGGGGTGAGAGAATGCGGAGACCACAGGGGGGTATGCGGAGTAAGTGGAGACAACGGGAGCAGAGTAGGCGGAGACTACAGCGGGGTTGGAGTAGGCAGACACCAGGGGGCTGGAGTAAGCCACGGGGGATACGACCGAGCTGTAGGCAACGGGAGCCACGCCGACGGAACGCTTCTTCAGGTGGTGGAAGCCAGACAGAGCCTTGGCTTGGTAGTGGGCGGCACGAGCGGCAACTACTTCAGGGGTGTCGAGGGGAACTCCGTTGACGGCATCCAGGACGACAGCGGGAGAGTGAGGAGCCTGAGCGAGGGCAACGGGGGCCACGGCATGAGCACCATACACAGCGGGTACAGAGTAGACGGATGGGGCAGAGTAGACGGCGGGAGCGACGACCCCGACGGCAGGGGAGCCGTGCACCACACTGGAGCTGTACTGCGACACCGAGCTGGATCCCGGGACCACGGCGCTGTAGGCGACAGGCGCCACCAGGCCGGGTTTAGCGGCAGCCATGGCCGCGACGGAGAGCAACACCACCAGCTTGTACATGTTGAAGTGGTCTGTGTTGTTGTCGAACTGAAGAAGTTGGATCAACTGATGTCTAACACGCTGTGACGGATCCTTTTATACGAAGCGTTGAACAAGTACTCATTACCAAAACATGTGCTGCTCCAATAACCTTCAAAACTACTATCTATACTTTGATATTTAAGCCGCCTAATATTTTTATTCTAGCTGGCGAAGATTTTTTGTCATGTGTGATTAGGTTCCGGAATCGCTTTACGGACGGTGACAACTGTCTCAAATCCAAGGTGTGCATTTCATTAAAGACAATTGATTTTCGAGTTCTTTGTGTTGTGCTTATGTGGGAGATAGTGTCGTCATTATAAATTATGTATATGTAACGTATCAATCTTAATTTTGTCATTGTTTTTTTTTACTTTGCGTTGTAGTCGATACACATGTTAGTTAAATGTTGTTAAAAGTCGCTATTAATTATTATTCGCCCAATTTCTTAAGAAAAAGCTTTTTATATTTTACAAAAGTTTCAAATATTGGTTTACATAATATTAACGCATGTTGTTTTTAATATACTTTAACAAAATAAGGGTTTTATATAATTGGTACTTTTAAAGACTGAATGTAATATTTAAGTCATTTGATGATTTTCCCCTCACAAAAAAAAGTCTAGTAAATTCAAACTCCTCTAAACTATTATCAAATTTATTTTTTCTTTTATACAGTTTTATTTTATACACATAATATATTATTAAAAAAAACACACTACTATTAATATAGATAGAAAATGAGTAGTGAATTCATCATAACAACATTAAATGTGATTACCAAATGTTAAAGTAATCTTGTCTAAACATTAAGAAACTAAACCACAATTTAGGTTTTAGATTGAATTCGTACATGGTCTGTTGAATGTGTCACGCTTTCTTATCTAAGTGGAACCACTCGAAGCATGAGTGATACCATCAACAAGTTGGCATTATGCACATAAATGTCAGTATCGCGGCACGCAATACTAATTTAATTACTTCTTAAAACGACAATCTTGACATTTATAGTGCTGTCCTTAAAATTTATTTTGTATATGACTATGTTTTGCATTTGATTTGAATAGTGTCGTGATATTGAACGCGTACTAAATATGAGAAATTACATTTTCTAGAATTTTATTTAAATGCCTCGATGCCTTCGTTACGGCTGATGTTCAGCAGGGATTGCGGGGCTAGCGCGATAAATCACCGTGGCCTAGAGCAGGAGAAGGAACGGTTTTTTGGTCAGTAAGATTTGAACAACATTTGATGATTTTCCCCTCACAAAAAACACGATTATTAAACCGCAGTTCGAGCAAACTCTTATTGGGGTTTTGAAATTCACGGTCAAGTCTTGGTTGCACGATTGTTTAATGTAATTAATACTTTTGAAATCGTTTGGTGCTGTGGCTGGGCAACTGACTGGGTGCGATTTCCACACGGAATACTGCACTTTTTGTGTGATCCAACAAATGTTTTTTCCGGGTTTGGGTGTGTGTATTACACAATCTGTATGTTTATAAACGGACCATAATTTCCTGCAACTTTAAAGAAAATAGCCGGAATATTATATTACCTTACCGTTTGTACTTCGTTCAGCCTATTAAGACGATTGATCCTCTTAACTTGAAGACGTCTTTATCAGAGCCGGCATAATCGTATTACCATCTCATGGACACGCGTAGATACATTAAGTGTAAATACTTAGAAAGGCGCTAATATTTTGTGGAGATTCGCTGTTTTACATAATTTCCATAATCTAGTGTAGTGGTATATTTTTCTTTGATTTTATTAATTGTCTGCTTATAAGTGCTTGCTGCCGAGAGTGAGCTATAATAACGTCGTCTACCTGCTCAAGGCACATTGAAAATTTCAAACATATTTTTATAATAACTATCGTGAGACATACTAAATTAACTAAAATTCGCGGGTTACTCACGTGTAAATGTTCTGGCTCAGTAGGCTGCGCGACGTCGCCGCGTCCGCGCACGCTGCTCATGAGGAAGAACCCCTCTGTGGTTCGAAACTAGTAGAGCTTTCCTCAACATTTACACGTGAGTAACCCGCGAATTTTAGTTAATTTCAAACATATTATTTAGAAATTATCTATAAGTCTAGACTAATGGATGCCTAGGTTTTCTCATGACGTTTTCCTTAATTTAATGTCAGTGGTCTCTAAATATTAT